GTGACAGTGAGTGTGCCACTGCACTCCAGCCTGGGCAATGGAGTGAGACTCCAACTCAAATAATAATAATAATAATAATAAATTTGATTATATGAATACACCATTTTTTATTTATCCATTCAGCTAGTGGACATTGGGATGGTTTCCATGTTTTAGCTGTGATGATTATAATACTACTACGAACATTTGTGTACAAGTTTTTGTGCATACATATGTTTTCATTTTTCTTAGGTATGAAATTTCTGGATCATACGGTAATCCCATGTTTAATATTTTGAGGACGTGTCAAATTACTTTCCAAAGTGATTATACCATTTTACACTCCTACCAGCAACCAATGAGAGTCCCAATGTTTCCATGTCCTTACCAACACTTGTTATTGTCTTGTCTTTTTTCTGATAGCCATCCTAGTAGGTAAGAAGTGTTATCTCATTGTGCGTTCTATTTGCATTTTCCTAATGACCAATGATGTTGTGCATCCTTTCTTGTGCTTGTTAGCCATTTGTATATCTTTTTTTTTTTTTTTTTTTTGAGTTGGAGTCTCACTCTGTCACCAGACTGGAGTGCAGTGGCCACTCCCGGTCACTGCAGCCTCCACCTGCTGGGCTCTGGCAATCCTTCTGCCTCAGCCTTCCAAGTAGCTGGAACTCCAGGTGTGCGTTACCACGCCCAGCTAGTTTTTTATTTTATTGTAGAGATGAGGTCTCACCAAGTTGCCTAGGCGGGTCTCGAACCCACAGGCTCAGGCAATCCACTCACCTTAGCCTCCCAAAGTGCTGGGATTACAGGCTGAGCCACCAAGCCCAGCTTGTATATCTTCTTTAGATAAATGTTTATTCTAATCTTTGGTCCATTTTTAAATTGGGTTATTTGTTTTTTGCTGAATTGTAAAAAGTTGGATTTTTTTTTTTTGAGTTAGATTCTCACTCTGTCTTCCAGACTGGAGTGCAGTGGCACAATCATGGCTTACTGCAGCCTCCAACTCCTGGGCTCAGGCATTCCTGCCTCAGCCTCCCAAGTAGCTGGGACTACAGGTGTATGCCACAACACATGGCTAATTTTTTGATTTTTTTATGAAGACAAGGTCACACTATGTTGCCTAGGCTGGTCTTGAACTCCTGGCCTCAAAAGGAAATTATCTTTGATGATGTGGGTGGGCCTCATCCAATCAAAGAGCCTGAAGAACAAAACTGAGGTTTCTCTGAGGAAGAAATTCTGCCTGGGAACTGGACTTCAGCCTCAGCTCCTGCCTGAAAGCTTCCAGCCTGCCCTGCAGATTCCAGACTTGCCAGTCCTCATAATCATGTAAGTCTTTTCCTTGAAATAAATTTCTTTATATATCTCCTACTATTTTTTTTTCCTCTGGCGAGCCCTGAATAATGCAGGGAGGAAGAGGATGTCATCTTGCCATGAACTCCCCATTTG